TGCATTATTAAAATGCCCAGGGAAAAAAGTATCTTCTGTAATTCTAGTGAAGAGGCTGCTTAGTTTCAGTACTTAGCATTCTTGTCCACTGGTTTGGTTTTTACGAGACAGGGTTTCTCTGTATTGTTTTGGAGGCTTTCGGTCCAGCCTGGCCTCGAACTCACAGATCTGCCTGCCTCTGCCTCCCGAGTGCTGGGATTAAAGGCGTGCGCCACTACCGCCCGGCTGTCCACTGGCTTTTGAAATACAAATTATGGTGCTTTTATATAGTTTTTTAAGAGATGAAATTTGGGGCCGGGCGTTGGTGGCGCACGCCTTTAATCCCAGCACTCGGGAGGCAGAGGCAGGCGGATCTCTGTGAGTTCGAGGCCAGCCTGGTCTACAAGACCTAGTTCCAGGACAGCCTCCAAAGCCACAGAGAAACCCTGTCTCGAAAAACCAAAAAAAAAAAAAAAAAGATGAAATTTGGTTAAGAGTAGTAGCACCCAGTGAGTTGCTGCTGTTGGTCCAATACTGACTTCTACCCCAATAAAGGGTCCTTGCCACCCACTCCCCACATTCTGACAGGCTGTAGTATAAGGATACCAGTACATTGAGGCTTGTCAATGACAAGGTTTTCCTGTTACTGCTCTAGGTGAACGACCCCTAACAAAAGACAACCATCTTCTGGGTACATTTGATCTGACTGGAATTCCTCCTGCTCCCCGTGGGGTACCCCAGATTGAAGTCACCTTTGAGATAGATGTTAATGGTATTCTTCGAGTGACAGCTGAAGACAAAGGTACAGGGAACAAAAACAAAATCACAATTACCAATGACCAAAATCGCCTGACACCTGAAGAAATTGAAAGGATGGTTAATGATGCGGAGAAGTTTGCAGAGGAAGACAAAAAGCTCAAAGAGCGCATTGACACCAGGAATGAATTAGAAAGTTATGCTTACTCCCTCAAGAACCAGATTGGGGATAAAGAAAAGCTGGGCGGTAAACTTTCCTCAGAAGATAAAGAAACCATGGAGAAAGCTGTAGAGGAAAAGATTGAGTGGCTGGAAAGCCACCAGGATGCAGACATTGAAGACTTTAAAGCTAAAAAGAAGGAACTAGAAGAAATTGTTCAGCCTATTATTAGCAAACTCTATGGAAGTGCAGGCCCTCCCCCAACTGGTGAAGAGGATGCATCAGAAAAAGATGAGTTGTAGGTGCACTGATCTGCTAGGGCTGTAATATTGTAAATATTGGACTCAGGAACTTTGGTTAGGAGAAAATTGAGAGAACTTAAGTCTCGAATGTAATTGGAATCTTCACCTCAGAGTGGAGTTGAAAATGCTATAGCCCAAGTGGCTGTTTACTGCTTTTCATTAGCAGTTGCTCACATGTCTTGGGGTTGGGGAAAGGAGGAATTGGCAATTTTAAAAATTGGGGGGAAAGCTGGGTCAGGGTGTGTGTTCACCTTGGAAATGTTCTATTTAACAATTGGGTCATGCACATCTGGTGTAGGAACTTTTTTCTACCATAAGTGACACCAATAAATGTTTGTTATTTACACTGGTCTAGTTTTTGTGAAAAGCTTGTAATTTTCCGTCTTTTACTTTAGATAACTAAAATTTAAGGCTGGATTCTCAGGTGCGTCTGTCTGTATGTTGGGCAGGGGAGGGGGCTTGTGATGTTGCTGGGTTGTTCTCCTTCCTGGGAATTTGAGTTGGTCTAGCTTTACAGCAAGGCAAAGGAAGTTTGCTGTTTCTTCCCCTAGGCAAGGCTCATTTCTTAGTGCCTAAGCCCAGTTCTCTTGACCATGATGGAAATCTTACTTCCCCTTTGTAAAATTGCTTTCTGGGGTTTTTTGTTGCTTCTTTGGTTTTAGTATTTCAAGACAAGGTCTTTGTAGGCCTGGCTGTCTTAGAACTCACACTTTAGACCAGGCTGGCCTTGAGTTCAGACCCATGTGTCTCTACTCCCCTGTGCTGGGAGTAAAAGTGCATACCATTGCCCCTTCTGATTTCCTCTAACAAGTAATGCTGTGGGGCTGCAGATTCTCTTATGAAATGGCGATGTGCCAGGCTAATTCAGCTGTGGTAGGAGAATGACAAGTCTAAGCCCTGCCTAGGGAACTGAGGCTGTCTGAAAAGATACAAAAATGGGTATGTATTCAGTGGTAGGGTATTGTTTAGCAAGTGTGAAGCCTTGAATATAATCCTCTGCTAAAAAAAAAGATTGATGACTTACACACATGCATTTTATTTTTCTTTGTGGTGTAAGATCAAACCCAGGGTCTTGAATGTGTCAAACACTCTGTATTACTGGGTGGTAACTTAGTTTGTAATTTACATTTTAAAATGTATACTTTGAAAGTTCACAGTGGTACACACCTCTGAAGAAGCATTTAGGAGGCAGAGGCAGGAGGATCTCTGAAGCTATCCTAGTCTACATAGTGAGCTCCAGGCCAGCCAGAGCTATGTAGAGACCGTTGCAAAAAAGACAGCTAACAGACTCAAGTCCTATTTTTGATACCTGGCACTGCATACTGGGTGTAGTGGCTCAGTCTGGAGGCAGGAGGATTAATGAAATACCAGCTACACTTATGCATGTAGTTCAGCAGGGCTTATGAATCAAAACATGCTCAGAAGCCTAATTTGGTCAGAACCCCCAAATCTGAAAGGTTTTGCTGGTATTGTGAGTTATATATAGTAACCCTGAAATGACAAATTTCACTTGCTAGTCAAAGGACTGGTTGAGGATTGTTAAGACTGCCTTCCTCAGGAAAGGGATGAGCTAGGTAATCAGTATGATCAATGAGGATTTTGTCCAGTGCTAACATGAAATTCAGTACTGAACAATCAGCTGTAAGATTAGTTTACTTAATGGTAGAAGAGGCCGGAGGTCGTGACACACCCCTTTAGTCCCAGCACAATGGGAATTTGAGGCTAGCCTGGTCTACAAAGCTACACAGAGAAACTCTCAAAAAAAGAAAAGAAAAAAGAATGGTAGATGTGGGACCTGACAGCAACCCCGTGTCACTCTTGAGCTTCCTGTTTGTGCAATATCTGATGTTTTGAACCCAGCACGGTGGTTCATACCAGTAATTCCTACACTCAGGAAGCTGGCTGAGGCAGGAGTGTATCAGCAAAGGTTACAATGTGCAATCCTATTTCATCTGCTCCAGTCCTGTCCATCTTACCGTAAAGAGATGCGCAGGGGCATGATAGAACATGCTTGTAATTTTAGCACTCTGGGATGCTAAGGCAGGGAGACTACAATTTTGAGGCTAGTCTACTGTCAGAACTTTGCCTCAAAAACACCAATAGTTAAGTGTTTAAGCAGGTCTGGAGTGTAACTAAGTCTTTGGGTCAAGGTCCAGACAAATGTTAAAATTGATCTTGTTACTGACCTAGGCCCTATGTATGTGTGCTTGTATAGCCTGGTCTGTTTGTGGGACCCCTGGCAGTGGGACAAAGATCTAGTCTTGGTACATGAGCTGGCTTTTTGGAGCACATTCCCTGTAGTGGGATGTCTTGTTCAACCTCAATGCAGAGGGAGGGGCTTGGTCCTGCTTCAACTTAATGTGCCAAGCTTTGTTGACTCCCTATGGAAGTCTTACCCTTTGGGAGGAGTGGATGGGGAGGAAGTGGGGGAGCAAGTGGATGGGGAGGAAGTGGGGGAGCAGTAGGAGGGGAGAGAGGGGGAACTATGGTTGGTGTGTAAAATTAATTAAAATTAAAAAAAAAAAGTTGACCTTGTTAGCTTCATGCTGGGTCAAGGGGTGAACAGGAAAGACAAGGCATCTTCTTTGTCCTCCATTGCTAGCACTCCTTTAAAAAAAAACAAACAGATCAGGGTCCCAATATATACACTAGACTAGGATTAAAGGCATACAGCACCATGCTCCGATGTTTTTTCTGTTTAGATGAGTAATGTGCCCAAGTCTGAACAAGGTTAAGGGGAGGCACACGTCATCAATGGCATGAGCACCCAATCATGCTTATGAACCAAAAAAACGATCTCACACCCAGCTTTTGTCAGTACTTTTTTTTTTCAAGTTCAGATAATCTGTATGAGTGGTTTGCCTGCAGAGTATCAAGGCATAGGATCCCCTGGGAAGTGGATTAGAAACAGTTGCCAGCTACAAGTGGGTCCTGGGAACTGAACTTGGGTTCTCTGTAGGAGCAGTGCTCTTAACTGCAGAGCTATCTCTCTAGTCCCTTGTCTGCACTTTTTAAAAAATGACTAGCTAATGCATATTGCAGAAATTCCAATTGATAAATGTTTACTCCAATACCTAGTTTGATTATCTGGAGATTTTATTGCTGGTAAAACTTTATACTGGAATTGTCTGTAGTTGGTTATCCAGTTACCGAAGTTGGTTAAGTGAAAGATGAAGACTTTGTGTGTGTGTGTGTGTGTGTGTGTGTGTGTGTGTGTGTGTGTGTATCCCTTGACCCAGCATGAAGTAAACAAGGTCAGTTTTAACATTTGACTGGGCTTTGACCCACAGACTTAGTTACACTCCAGACCTGCCTAAACACTTGCCTATTGGTGGTTTTGAAGCAAAAAAAAAAAAAAGTGTGTGTGTGTGTGTGTTTCAAGACAAGGTTTCTCTATGTAACAAGGAACAAGGCAGTCGGATCTCTGTGAGTTCAAGACCAGCCTGGTCTACAAGAGCTAGTTCCAGGACAGCCTCCAAAGCCACAGAAAAAGCCTGTCTCGAAAAACCGAAAAAAAAGAAAAAAGAATCAACCAATCATCCATGCATCCAGCATGCGAGTAGACACACACTGTCACAACAGACACGCAGAGGTCAAAGGACAACTTGTAGGAGTTGGCTATCCATCATGTGGGTTCCTGGGATTCAACTCAGGTCATCAGGCTTAGGAGGTTTAGGGGTAAGTGCCTTTATCTGCTGAGCCTTGCAGGCCCCGTGCACGGCACTCATGGTTAAGAGAATACGTTGTGCCAGGGATTTGGCAGTGTGACTCACAGAGGCCTCACTTTTGTAAAAAGTAACAAATAATAAAAATGTGGGCTTTATTAGTCAACTACAGTCACAATGCAGTCGTCATAGATCTCCCCTTCGGTATTCATCCCACCGAACACGAAACAGAGCGACATGTTAGTCTGACTTTCCTCACCACCCTGAGCCACGTGTACGCCAGCAGCGCCCGTTCTCTCAGCTTCACAGTTGAGAATGACAGAATCCGAGTCTTCATTCTCAGAGGTGGACGGCACTGGCCATGGGATGACACACATGGAGTGGTCCAGTCGTCCAGGAGGTAGGAAAGGACCAAACTGAAGGGAGGTCCAATGCTGCTTTTCTAATTAGGAGGGACAGACACAGATGTTTCCAGAAACAGTCAGTGATTTTCTGCATTAGTTAATCCACAGAGGAAATAAAGGGAAAACCAGGCTGGGTCACACAGTGTATATCTGTAATTCCAGTGCTCAGGAGGCACAGGCAGGAGGATTGCTGCCATTTTCAGACTGGCTGGGCTACATGTTTTTCTGAGGGGATTGTTTCTTAAAGGTTTTGAGACAGGATTTCTCTGTGTAGCCCTGGTTGTCCTAGAACTCAGACATCCTCCTGCCTCTGCCTCAAGTCCTGGGATTAAAGGCACCACCATGGCTCGACAAGATTCTGGATCACTTTTCTGCTTGTCTTTGCTTAAAGACCAGGAGTGTCACCTGCTCACCTGTGTGATACTTGTACATCGTGTTCAGTGCTCCAGTGGGAGTCATTCCTCCAAACACATACACATGTTTTCCCACAGCCACAGCAGCATGGGCAGCGCAGGCCGCTGGAACAGCCCCTGTGGGACTAAGCTTCTGCCATTTCATGTTACCTGTCACAAGAAAGAGTTTTTTACATGAGCTAAAACATGATTCCAAAACTATCTGCTGCAGTTTGCAAAATGATTATTGAGGGTCATCCACAGGGAAGTGTTTTTTTTTTGTTTGTTTGTTTCTGGGGTTTTTTTGTTTTTTGTTTTTTGTTTTTTTTGTTTTTTTTTTTTGTTTTTTTTTTTTTGAGACAGGGTCTCACTATGTAGCCCTGGTCTGGAATGCCCTATGTAAACCAGGCTGGCCTTGAACTCCTGTCTCTACCTCCCAAACACTGGGATTAAAAGGCATTCAACACCATGCCTGGGCCACAGGGATCAATAAGAAGTAACAGAGAAAGGTTAAGTATGCAGAACTGTTTTTGAGAGAGGGCAGTTTGAATTATTCTCTGATCTGAAATAAAGGATCTACAGTTTTAAAAAGCATCTCATGAGAATCTCCTCTTTAGAGTATGCTGGGAAACATTGAAACCTTTAAAAGAGATGAAATCTTTAACTGTTCACTGTCCAGATAGGCAGGGTTGTGAGTGTGTGTGCATGTACACAAATATGCAGGCATACATGCCCATATATACGTACGTGTTTTAAACACATTTTTAAAGACTGATTTTTATTTTATGCATGTGTACGTTTTGCCAGGATATTCGCCTGTGCAACACATGCATGGTTCCCCAAGGAGGCCAGAGGAGGGTGCTTCATACCTTGGACTGAAATTACACTGGCTATGAGCTGCTGCATGGGTGCTAGGAATCAAAGCCAGGTCCTCTGGAAGATGCCAAGCCATCTCTCAGGCCCCCAACAGCAACTTTGCAAGTGCTGGCCAGAATTTGCGAACTCAGCCCTGTGAGTTGCTGTCACTTCTGTCTACATCCTCTCTTCTTATAGACGAACATGCAGAGTGAGAGGGGGACAGAGACCGACCAGGGTAGCTTAGAAGGGGCACAGTCGGTCATACTGAGGCTGCAAGGTTGTGTCCTCGCTCATGCATCTTGCTGACTCAGCACTCATTTCCAACACTTTTTGCCGAGATGTCTGCATGCTTTTGAAGGAACACTCAAAGGATATACATACATTAGAGACTGTTTGGGAAGTAAGAAAACAATAGCTAGGAAACACTTCCTCAGCACAGGAAAATGGGCAGTCTTAGACAATTATCAGCCCAAGGGCTGGAGAGCTGGCTCAGTGGTTTAGAACACTGGCTGGTCTTCCAGAAGTCCTGAGTTCAATTCCCAGCAACCACAAGATGGCTCACAACCACATGTAATGAGATCTGGTGCCCTCTTCTGGCCTGCAGGATTACATGCAGGCAGAACACTGTATACATAATAAAATAAATCTTACAAAAAAAAGAAAAAAAAAAATAGCCTGGCATGGTGGCGCACGCCTTTAATCCCAGCACTCGGGAGGCGGAGGCAGGTGGATCTCTGTGAGTTCCAGGCCAGCCTGGTATACAGAGCGAGTTCCAGGACATCCAGGGCTACACAGAGAAACCCTGTCAGAAGAAGAAAAGAACCTGTGAGACTGATGTCAGCCTAGTCTACAAAGTGAGTTGCAGGGCCACCAGAGCAGAACAACCTTTTCTCAAAACAGCAACAAGAACAAACCCTGTCTTTTGGGCTGCATAGGTAGGTAAAGAGAGAGAGGGAGGGAGGGAAGGAGGGAGGGAGGGAGGGAGAGAGAGGCAAATGGAGGAATCCCAGCTAGTGAGCTTGCTTTGTAAGGACTCAAATCCTTTGCATGGGAGTTCTTGTGCCTTCTGCCCTTCCTGCCATTGCTCTGTAGCCTAGAGCCAGGAAGACCTCGCTCATTTATTCATCTGTCCACTCAAGAGCAGACAAGTGCCTACACGATGTCCAGCAGACTGCACTGAGTGCTTGCAACACACAAAGGAAAAGAGGAAGTCCCCACCCTTCGGAGCTCACAGCCAGAGACTCAGAAGAGAGTCCAGTCTTCAGAGGAGAGAATCTTCAGGTTCTCTCTACCTGTCCTTTTTGCAGGGCTTTTGACCACGCAGCCTAGCAAACATGCAGTTCTGGTCATCTACCTCCACCATCTGGATCAGAAATGGGGCAAGAGCCAAATCCTAAAGAGCTCTAGCTGGGGACACAACTGTAGGAAGAGCCATGGAACGCCGTGCCGGAAGAGGTGACAGCGCCACACAAACCCTAAGTGTATAAAGGGATGCCATATAGAGACGGAGAAGACAGGATACGCCAGGCATTCTCTGGTAAGATAAGGCCATGTAAAAACACATAGAATAGTAGTTATGGGTTAATAATTAATAGAGAGCTAGCCAATAAGAAGCCCTAGTTATCGGCCAACAGTTTATACATTAATATGAGTCTTTGTGTATTTATTTGGGGTAAAGCAGCTGTAGGAGCAGGTGGGACAGAAACCTCCATCTTGACATATTGGCCTTGAACTCACAGAGATCAGTCTGCCTCTGCCTCTGCCTCTGCCTCAAGTGCTGGGATTAAAGTCTCGTGCCACCACCACCTGGCTAGAAATTTCTTATTCTTAATTATGTGCATATATGTGTGTGTCCATGGGCTCTCTGCAAGAACAGTAAGTATTTTTAACTGCTGAGCCATCTCGATAGTCCCAATTGTTTATTTGTTTGTTTGTTGTTTTTGTTTTTTGGTTTTTCAAGACAGGGTTTCTCTGTATTGCTTTGGAGGCTGTCCTGGATCTCGCTCTATAGACCAGGCTGGCCTGGAACTCACAGAGATCCTCCTGCCTCTGCCTCCCGAGTGCTAGGGTTAAAGACGTGTGCCACCAACACCTGGCTCCAATTGTTAATAATAGTTTTTCTTCTTCCTTTTCTTCTTCAGGTCTGTCTGTCTGCCTATCTACCTGTCTAATTCACTTATTTAGTGTGTACACTGTTTTGCCAGCTGGTATGTCTGAGCACCACCTGAATACGGTGCCTATGGAGAACAGAAAGGGCAACAGACTCTGGAGCTGCTGTTACTGCTGTGTGGGTATTGGGAACCCAACCCAGGTCCTCTGTGCTTCATGGCTGAGCTATCTCTCCAGCCTCATATTCCTTACTATTCAGGCCATACTTCATGGAATCTAGGAAGGACTCTAACAGCTACTCAAGTTACCAACACACAAGAGCAAAGATGAATTCTTTCCAAGAACATTTTAAAGAGTTTTGAACTCATGAGCCCCCTGATCCTCTAACATACTTACTTATATCAATGCAATGGAGATCATCAAAGAACTTGTCCCCTGACAAGCCTCCATGGATGAAGAGTTTTGTACCAGCTGCCACCATCACATGGCCATGCCGAGCAGATGGAGGACTTCCATGTGTCTCTGGCTGAGACCACATCAAAGTGTCTACAAAAGTAAATGTGTTAGCACGAGGTAGCATGCCTCTTCAGCATCTCCCAGAGCAAAGATGCTCTAAGAAGGAAGTGACCTTGGAATCCTGTCTCTGACTTACTAGTCAAGTAGATCTCAATCCTACTACTCAACCTCTACTTGGACACATCCAGGGCTAGAGACTGCAAAGTCAATAATCTAGCATGCTGGTCCTACAGTCTGAGTATTAGGGAGCCAATCTTGCTTTGGATTGAAAAAATATATTCCTTAAACACTAACCCAGAACTGTCCCTAGGTTAAAATACAGGTGTCTACTTCTTTTTTTTTTTTTTTTTTTTTTTTTTTTGGTTTTTCGAGACAGGGTTTCTCTGTGGCTTTGGAGGCTGTCCTGGAACTCGCTCTGTAGACCAGGCTGGCCTCGAACTCACAGAGATCTGCCTGCCTCTGCCTCCCGAGTGCTGGGATTAAAGGCGTCCGCCACCAACGCCCGGCTTACAGGTGTCTACTTCTGTAAAAATCCACTGAAGATTTTTTTCTCTCTCTCTTTCGTTGTTGTTGTTTGTTTTTGAGAGGTACAGGAAATCAAGTGCAGAGTATTTCACATACTGAGTATATGCTTTATCATTGAGCTACATCCAGCCCAGAGTAACCATCTTTTTGTCATTGTTTTTTGAGATAAGGTCTCACTAAGTAGCCAAGGCTGGCCTGGAACCATGTAGACTGGGCTCATCTTGAATTCACAGAGACCTGCCTGCTTCTGCCTCCAAGTGCTGGGATTAAAGATGTGTGCCAATCCACACAGCTTGATTTATGTTTTTAAAACATAGCTGTATCCTCAGCTAGGCCTGATCTCTCACCTGCTGTGATTATAGACACATATCTGTTATCATGCTTGGTTTGTGCGGTGCTAGGAACAAAATGTGGGTGGGGTTTGGTGCATGCTAGGCAAATACCCTACTTAGCTCAAAACCTTTTACTTTAACTTTTGTTTTTTTGTTTTTGTTTTTCGAGACAGGGTTTCTCTATTGCTTTGGAGGTGATTTATTTATTTATTATGTATACAGTGTTCTGCCTGATGTATGTCTGAATACCAGAAGAGGACACCAGATCTCATTACGGATAGTTGTGAGCCACCATGTGGGTGCTGGGAATTGAACTCAGAGTCTCTAGAAGGGCAAGCAGTGAGTGCTCTTAACCTCTGAGCCATCTCTCCAGCCTTCAAACCCTTTCAAGTCCCTGTGTCCTGTATGAGAGATAACAAAGGCTGAGGTGGCCCTGACCAGGTGAGCAGCCCCAAGACCCCCACACGCCCAGCCCATACTTGCGTCAAATACATGCAACTTCACGTCCTGCACAGGCTGGGCACCTCTCTCTCCTCCTCCAAAGACATATAGCTGGTCTCCAATGGCTGCTGATGATGTGTGGAATGTTCTTGGGGATGGCGGGGAGCTGCTCACTTCTGGTGTGGTCCAAGTTCTGGTTTCTAGTCCAGAGAGAAAATAACAAGACCTAGGCTGAGGGTCTTCTGGCTTTACTCTTAGTTTTATGAGGTTCTGGGGACCTGCACCAGGGCCTGATAGGCTTGCATTTCACCACTGATGCACAACTGCAAGCCCCAACTGTGACCCTTGGCAGGCTTAGCAAGGCCACCTCTGTACAGTTAGTCTCTAAGGAGCACGGCGGGGCACGGCAGGACACAACTTTAGGCAGAGAGCTCGTACTCTCCAATGCCAAGGAAGAATACAAAGACATCAGAGGTTGTCCAGACAGACCAAATTCTCCGGCGATGAGAAACCTTAATTTCAATGAGGAGTGAGATCGGTATCGTGTTTGCTGACAGCTCTGCCTCTGCATTTTGGAGCCCAGTGTCTACTAAAATACATTCCCACTAGACACCTGAGCTCAAATGTGCCAAGTTTTCTAGAAAATATGTCCTAAAAAAGAAGACAGACTAGAATGATGGTTAAGAACACTGGCTCCAGCTCCAGTTTGAACAGTTTTAATAACACCATGAGCTGTGCCTTTTCTACTATTCTGTTTGAAATAAAAAACATGTTCAGAGTTTCTTTCCTTTCAAAATAAAACATGAATGTTATAGGAACAGATACACTAATTCAGCACCTTCTCATGCAGGGCAGTGGGCCTGGGCCGTTGTGGGATATTTGTATACTGTGTGAAGATAGATTATTGTGATTGGTTTAATAAAGGGCTGAACAGTCAAGAGCTAGGCAGAAGATATAGACAGGACTTCTGGGCAGAGAGAAGGAAGCAGGAGACAGCCAAGGCGTGAGGAGACACAGGGAGACACGGAGAGGAAACAGGACGTGCTAGACAGAAGGGAAGTAACACCACCACGTGATAGAACGTAGACTACTATAAATGGGTTAATTTAAGCTATAAGAGTTAATTAGGAACAAGTCTAAGCTACAAATCAAGCTTTCATAATTAATGAAAATCTTGTGTCTTTACAATCAATAATAATTAAGAAGTCTCCATGCCATTATTTGGGAGCTGGTTGGTGGCACAGAAAAGGACTCATTACGCTGAGCTCTTGGTTCATCCCACGGTGCTTACTCACCCCGAGAAACGACCAGAAGCTGTGAAGGCCTACGGAGAGAGGAGCAGTCAGACTCCCACACTAGTTCCACAACAACTGAGCAGTGTTTCTTGTTGGAAAAATTCTCTGCCTTTTGCAAAAGATCTGCATTCAGCATACAGAATACTACGTGGGGCACATGTATGGTGATACATGTGGGGGCCAAGCAAGAGCGTGCAGATGGAAAGGGCCTCAGCCTGCACCAGAGCAAAACGATCCCTCTCTAGAGCTCAAATCACAGGAACTGAATCCTGGGTATGGCGGCTCAAGCTTGCAACTGCGGCACTCACGAGAACGAGGCAGGAAGACAGAGAGCCTGAGCTCTCCAGCAAGACTCTATCAGCAAGAACAAAACAAATAAAGAACATAAGCAGACTTTTCTGTCCTGCCAGCCAGTCCCAAATAGCCACACACAGAGTTATTAATAATCATAAATGCTTGGCCAGTGGGGCACTCCCAGCACTTGGGAGGGAGAGGCAGGTGGAACTCTGTGAGTTCGAGGCCAGCCTGGTCTACAGAGAGAGTTCCAGGATAGCGTCCAAAACAATACAGAGAAAGCCTGTCTCAAAAAACCAAAACTAAATAAATAGTAATAAATCCTTGGCCAAAAGCATAGACTTGTTTTTTTTTTTTAAGACTTTTACTTATTTATTATGTATATAGTGTTCTATCTGCATGTATCCCTGCAGGCCAGAAGAGGGCACCAGATCTCATTGTAGATGGTTGTGAGCCATCATATGGTTGCTGGGAATTGAACTCAGGTCCTCTGGAAGAACAGTTGGTGCTCTTAACCTCTGAGCCATCTCTGCAGCCCCAGCATAGACTTGCTTTAACAAGCTCTTATAACTTAAAGAAGCCCATTTCTATTAATGTATGTGCTGCCCTGAGTCTTGTTTACCTCACCTCTGTGCTTCTCGTGTAGCTTCTTCTGAGTCTGGCTGGTGATCCCTGAGACTCCTCCTACTCCTCCTTCCCAGCATTCTCTTAGTCTGGTTCTTTCTGCTAACCTTATCCTGCTTACAGGCCAGCCCTCTTCTTTATTAAACCAATCACAGTGTAAAGGAATATTCCACACACACACACAAAATCAATTTCTCTGACAGAATCTTCCCAGAGTTTCACTGTTTTGCTTTTGTTTTGAATCTTGATAGGGTTTGACTATATAGCCCTGGCTGGCCTGGAATTGCCACGTAGGCCTGTTGACCTCAAACTCATAGAGATCTGCTTACGCCTGCCTTCCGAATGCGAGGATTATAGGCGTGTACCTCTATGGGTTTTTGTTTTGTTTTTAAATAAACGCCATCACCCAGAGTCAAAAAGACATGGTCTGTAGGAGGAGCCCTGGGCTGAAGAGCACACACACACACCCCACCACCATCGTTTTAAAGGAAGATTTCCAGAACTGATTTCTACTTTTCAAATTCTTCTGGATCAATACAGCAACTAACAGAGAGTAATATTAGCTACTAATTTAAATCTTGAACAAGTTCGCAAGGAAGGAACTTTTAACATCCCAGAATGACAGGAAAGGATTTTGCTCAAGGTCATGGTGAATAGCATCACGGACCTTCATAGAGGCAGGCATGTACTCTACTATTGTCTACACTCCGGCCTGATCCGAACTGTCAACCATCATACTCTAGCACAGAATGACCCTGAACTTGTGATTCTTCTGTCTCAGCCTCCCAAGCAGCTGAGATATCAAGCCTGTACCACCAGACCCAACTTAACAACCACATTCTATGATGGTGTTCCAGAAAAAACAGCTTCAGTATAGACCAGGAGGATGGTGAAGTGTCTACTTTATATTCAATTGTGTTCTGGACTCTAGGAACAATGAACAAATCCTTAACCTCAAAGCATTGACATTTCAGTCATGGTGGTGGCACACGCCTTTAATGGCACTTTTGGGAGGCAGGGATAGGTGGATCTCTGAGCTTGAGGCCAGCCTGGTCTACATAAAGGGTTCCAGGGCAGCCAGGGCTACAAAGCGAGACCCTGTCTCAAAAAACAAGACAAAATATATTTTGTTAAAAAAAAAGGCATTTAAGGCCAGGTGGTGGTGGCACCCACCTTTAATCCCAGCACTTGGGAGGCAGAGGCAGGCAGATCTCTGAGTTTGAGGCCAGCCTGATCTACAGAGTGAGTTCCAGGACAGCCAGGACTACACAGAGAAACCTTGTCTCAAAAGAAAAATTAACTAATTAATTAAGTGAAAAAAGCATTTACATTCCAGAGAGGGAGGGCAGGGAGGATGACAAACACTGAGACCAATCAAATGGACATCTAAGAAGACACTTTTCAAACACTACAGAGAAATTTCAATACTTGACCCAAAAGAAAATGCGGTCCTGCCGGGCACCTTCCACGGCACACTTCTGTAACTCCATCACTTGAGATCACGTCATGAGTCCCGGGCCGTCCAGGTGTGCTTGACTCTTGGGACCCACACAGAGAAAGGAGGCAACGGCTTGCACAAGCTGGCTTCTGGCTTCCATGTGTACATCACAGAACCTGTATAATCTCCTTGACCTCGTTTACACCACCAATGCCCGGCTAATACACATACATTTTAAAAGGTTAAAAAAAACCTAAATTCTTCCCAGCACTCAGGAGGCAGAGGCAGGTGGATTTCTGTGAGTTCGAGACTAGCCTCTTCTAGAAGAGCAAGTTCCAGAACAGCCTCCAAAGCCACATAGAAACCTTGTCTCAGCCGGGCATTGGTGGCGGACGCCTTTAATCCCAGCACTTGGGAGGCAGAGGCAGGCAGATCTCTGTGAGTTCGAGGCCAGCCTGGTCTACAGAGCGAGTTCCAGGACAGCCTCCAAAGCCACAGAGAAACCCTGTCTCAAAAAAACCAAAAAAAAAAAAAAAAGAAAAAAAAGAAACCTTGTCTCAAAAAAAACCACACACACACAAAAAAATCCTATTTCTAATCCCAGCACTTGGGAGGCAGAGGCAGGCGGATCTCTGTGAGTTCGAGACCAGCCTGGACTACCAAGCGAGTTCCAGGACAGCCTCCAAAGCCACAGAGAAACCCTGTCTCGAAAAACCAAAAAAAAAAAAAATCCTATTTCTATGAGTATAGGAGTGAACCCCACTCTGGTAAATAAATATATTGTTTTCCTTATAGCGTTGAATATCCTCATTATATGAGGTTGGCAATTCAGATGTACGGTAAAGTAACTGCATTCTTATGTGTGTGATAAAAAGAAAATAACCTCTGTCTACTCACCAGGATCCAAGACTTGTAGACAGTTTCGATTTCCTGACTGGTCCGCACCCCCAAACACCCAGATGCTGTGAGGGGTGCAGGAGGGGATGAAGCTGGCGTGCTCATACCGAGGCAACAGACCTTCCGTGGTGGCCGTGTCCCACTGCTGTGTTCCTAGAAAACATTTCCCCAGTGCTTAGACTGGGGCTGTCACTGGTATTCCGGCTGACAAACTTGGGAAGGAGAGTGAAAATAAGAGTGTGATCATAAATGACCAACCACCAAGTCTTTAAAGGGAGCATGGCCACTCGGGAATGTTCGCTAGTCCACACTTGCAGGCTGCCTGCCTGGTCCACGGACCCTCTCTCATGGAAACTGTCTCCATTTTTCCTCCCACAGAGTCCAGGTGACATATGCATAGCATTAACCTTCTAGTTGTAACTGACGGGGTCATGTGGATCCAGTCTCCACTCTCTCCACAGCCTGAGCTGCTATTTTTTGCCCTTAGATTCTGAAACGCACTCCTGATACCTATATAAATCTCAGTTTCCCCAGCCCCATTATAAGTGGCCCGACTAAGTGATCTCTGGGCAAACAGAGTATGATGCCTAAATCAATTAATTGTTTTAGTTAGCAAATACTAAGCTAGGACCATGTATCATGTTGTTAGCTAACCATGACTGCATACGAAGTCGGTTAGCAATCTCTATGTAATAGGATACTGTGGTCCAAATGGCTTTGCTAAGGTCATCATCTGGTAACTTGTAATGAAGATGGTAATTGAAGCTGGTACGGTGGTCCAGGGCCCCAGTGCTTGGGAAGTGGAGGCAGAGGGGTTGTGAGTTTGATACCAGTCTGGGCTACACAGAGAATTCTAGGTTAGCACGAACTGCATAGGAAGAAGCTCTCACAGAGATATAACCGAGGCAGAGCGTAAGCTCCTTAAGGGCTGGGGGTAGAGATTCAAGTTCCTGGACAGTATAAGCAGAGATTGGGCAGCTCCATGGGTAGGAACTTTGTGGATAGGTGACACTTCCAAGTCTAAATAACTGTTGCCACATAGTCATGCAGGAGCACAGACATCAGACCTCCTAAAACTATTATGAGAAGCCCAACATGGCAATTTAGAATCTTCTAATTATATTCTGTTTCTCATTTGTGCATATGTGCACACATGTTTGTGCCACAGCACCTGCATGGAGATCAGAGAACAACTTTTGAGAGTTAAGTTTCTTCCTTTCACCAAGTGGTTTTCAGGGATCAAACTCAGATGAGGCTGGGCAGCAGGCACCATTACCTGCTAAGCCATCTCTTCAGCCTCATTTCTGTTATTTCTATCTTGAATCATTCACCAATCAAGTGTGCATGTAAAAACTGACATAGTTGGGGCTGGAGAGAAGGTTCAGTTGTTAAGGGCATTTGCTGATCTTGCAGAGGACCCAAGCTCAATTCCCAGCATCTATGCAATGTTCCTGGCCTCTGTGGGCATTGGCACTCACATGCATATATCCCCAGGCAGACTCCCCCTCCACACACACATATTAAAAACAGTAGCTGGATGTTGGTGGCGCATGCCTTTAATCCCAGCACTCGGGAGGCAGAAGCAGGCAGATCTCTGTGAGTTGAGGCCAGCCTGGTCTACAGAGAGAGTTCCAGGACAGCCTCCAACCCTGTCTCGGAAAACAAACAATAGAATAATGTAAGAGTAGTTACTGCAGAGTGCCCAGGTTCAGTCCCTAGCAGCACGGTAGCTCACAACTCTCTTTAATCCCAGTTCTAGTGGCTTCAACTCCTTCTGTGGTACACATATATACAGTAGGTACTTTCTTAAAATAATTTCTTAATCCAATCATCTCTATTTAAAAAAAAATTAAGGCAGCTGGGTGGTGGTGATGTACACCTTTAATCCCAGCACTCTGGAGGCAGAGGCAGGTGGATCTCTGTGAGTTCAAGGCTTGCCTGGTCTATAGAGGTAGTTCCAGGACACCTAAGGCTATTCAAAGACACCCTGTCTTGAAAAACTAAATTAACTAATGAAATAATAATAAATAATAATAATAAACCAAATCTTTACAAATATGACAAAGTTGTTCTTTAATCTCTGTGTGCTAGGCACATGTTTAAAATAATAAATGTAATAAAAATATTAATACTTGAACTGGGTGTGGTAACACACATCTTTAATCTCAGGTTCTAACATTTTGGAGGCAGAGGCAGGTACATATCTGTGAGTTCAAAACCAGACTGTTCTACATATCTAGACTAGCTAGGGCTACACAGAGAAACCCTGTCTCAAAAAAACTAACACACACACACACACACCAGAAATGTTACATGGCCATAGTCAAACATGAATGTGTGTCACCAATCTTCAGTTTTTGTATACCAGTATAGCACATAGTAATAATTTCACAGTTTCTTCCATCCATCCATCCATCCATCCATCCATCCATCCATCCATCCATCCATCCATCCAAATACAAAGTGCTTGCTCTGTCCACATGCTCTGGCAGTGGCTGGGGATACAATTATGAGTAACACAGCCTCACTGTGTTTCTGAGGACCTTAAACTCTTGTGGGAAGTACAGGAAATAATCACATGTGGTCAGACCTGCGAGGGGGAAACGGGAGAGCACACACGAAAACCAGAGTTTGAGCATCCGCTTCACATAGACCAGTGAAGGCGAGACGACCAGAGGTTCAAGGGCATCCTCGGCTACATGAGTGCAAGTCCAGCCTGGGCTACATAAGACCTCTTCAAAACAAAGTAACACTCGCACTGTGTAGGGAGTCACCATAGGGGCAAGGAGACCTGAATGAAAAAGATTCACTAGCTGGAAAGGAACAATGACAGGGCTTGATGACTAACTAGAATGTGGACAGAAGACAGGAGAAAGGAGAGTCATGGATGTCTCCTGGAACAGTTGATAGCCAATTTCCAGGTTGCCAAGGCTCGATACAGACTCTTCCCCAGCAATGACGTATGAGCAGGTGGGTATGTGCTGGAGGTCAGCCGAGACCTCAGGCCAGAAAAGATATTCCTCTCTGTAAGAGGAAAGCCCTGCTGTCTGATATGAGTTGGTATTATTACAATCATTATTGTTCTGAGACGGGGCCTATGTTTTCCTGGTCTGGCACTTCTATATAGACCAGGCTGGCTTTGAACTCCCAAGGCTTGTCTTGCCTCTGCCTCTCTGGTTCTGGTTTTGAAAATGAGTTCCACCACACCCAGCAGAGCAGTGTTGATCTTACCCAAATCCATGATGTGCACATCTGAGAAGCTTTGGTTTGGATTTGCTCCCCCTACGATGAAGACCTTCCCTCTCTTGGCATCACCAATTGGGGGTAAATAGGAGCAGCTGTGGCCAACTCGAGGGCAGGGTTTGTCTCCAGGTCGAGTCAAGGTGTACCTGCCAAAGGGAACACACATTCACAAGTCCTGTATGAGAATATTCTTCCGTTCCTCACAAAATAGTCACCAGGATGAGAGGTCCGGCACACATACTGATGCTTTAAATTTTAGTTACTACTATTGGATGTGAGCATGCCCATGATGTGTAGGTGCAGGTGTTGAGGTCAGACAAAAGCTCCACAGAACTGGTTTTCTCCTTCTACCTTTATGTGGGTTCCCAAGATTGAACCCAAGTCACCAGGCTTACTGGGGTAATGCCCTTACCTGCTGGCTGTCTCACCGGCTCCACACTGATATCTCAGTTATGTCCAGAAAAGTGTCATTTCCTGACACTTCACTCGGTAGTCTCTGGCTTTTCAGTTTTGACTGGACTTTGACTCCTATGAGGCTCTGAGGTAGACAGGGGAACTGACCTGTGAGATTTCCACTGGAGTGCCTTCCCACCATCAGGATGGTGTTATTGTGGTCTGTGGGTTCAGACATACCAGGTTCAAGTATTGCTTCAGTGCTTTCTACATGTGTGGTGTTTGGGGGGGCCACTCAACCTTTCGGACCTTAGTTTTCTCTATTATAAAACAAGGGATTGTTGCCAGGCAGTGGAGGCACATGCCTTTAATCCCAGCACTCTGGAGTCAGAGTCTGAGTTCAAGGTAAGCTTGGTCTTCAGAGTGAGTTCCAGGACAGCCAGGGCTGTTACACAAAGAAACTGTCTCCAAAAACAAAACAAAACAAAAACTGTCTCCAAAAAAACAAAACAAAACAAAACCCCAAGGACTGTGATAGTTTTTACCTCCAAAGGGGGCTGTGAAGACTCAAACAGAATTTGCAAGGACGCAGGGAGTGACTCAGTAAACAATGGCTAGGGCATTATCATATCCATAGGGACACCCATGATGCCAAGGTCCTAGTTAACAGCCCAGTAGAGAAAATTCTCAACAACTCATGGATTAAGTCCCCTAAGGATTATATAAAATCCATTAAGTCTTTTCAGGCTTGGAAAGCTCAACCAGGTGGAACCAAAACCTAGAGCTCACAAGCTAAATATAGGGCCAGGCATTCCCCACTACATTTATTTTGATTTTTAACAGAAAAAAAAAAGCATTTCAAGCTTCCTGGTTGGAAACAAATCAACCAAAATTTAGTTTAAGACAGGGTCTCAAGAAGTCTAAGCTGGGGCTGGAGAGGTGGCTCAGCGGTTAAGAGCACTGACTGTTCTTCCAGAGGTCCTGAGTTCAATTCCCAGCAACCACATGGTGGCTCACAACCACCTTGAATGAAATCTGGTGCCCTCTGCTGGCATGCAGGCAGAAGATTGTATATGCAATAAATAAATAAAATATTTAAAAAAGGAGTCTAAGCTGGTCTTGGGACTCCAGATAGCCCAGGATGACCTTAAATTCCAGATGTTCCTGCCCCCACCTCCCAAATGTGGAATTACAGGTGTGTCAGAGCACACAATGAATAACAGTACCCAGCTAGTCCCCAGGCCCTGTCTTATTTGAGCTCTCTAATGTTGGCACTCCTGACCCCTCCCACTCCCTGCATTCTTTCCAGAACCTGGCTTGTCCATCCCTCTTCCTCTGGGTGTGTCCTCACCTTCCGGCAGCTGTCTCCTTTGCTCTCATCGTTCTCCACCAGCCCCTTGGAACTCTCAGAACCCTAGTATCCCTTTCCTGCACTGTTTGTTATTTGCCCCGGTGCTTCCTATGGACGCCCAACTCTGTCATTATCAGTGATTTCGGGATCCTTCCTCTGACTGCTCTGACATTCGGATTTGTGTGTCCCTTGCCCTGAAGGACTGCTAACCATGTCCCACGTACACTGCTCACAAAGCAGCCACCTTTATGGAGGCCCACTAGTCATCAGTACTATTACTGCAGCTTGAGTTTAACAACTGAGGAACAGAGGTGTAAAGAAGTTCAGAGTTTGAGCCTTGCATTCAAGAACAGATAAACATCTAGAAAGATGCTGAATGAGACAGCATCCTTGCCTTCACAGCCCTCAGGACCAGTGGGTAAAAGGCCAGCTTAAAAGCTTCATGAATATCTCTTCCATTGTTTTCACAGCCAAAGAAAAGTTTTAACATAAAAGTTATTTCTGTCTTTCTTTTTTTCTAGACAGTATCTTACTCCATTTTCCAGTCTAGCCTTGAACTCCAAGTGACCCTACTACCTGAATACTGGACAGCCTGTCTCAAAACAAAACAAAGCCTATCTTGGTGGCCATGCCTGTAACTCCTGCACTTGGGACGCTGAAAAAGGATTGCTGAAAGTTAGGAGCCTACCTGAGCTACATGAGACTCTGTCTCAACAACAAACAAAACAGCAAAAGAATAAGTAAAGACATTTGAGGTTGGACGCATAGGCAGAAACAGATTGATAACACAGGGCTTTGTTTAAGGGGCCTGCTTTATCTTGTTGTTCAGACCTGGGGATCAAGCTGGATATTTACTCTAGAGCACATCTCCAGCACATGTGGGATGGCTCTGAAGCAAGGCAGGTTGTGTGGAAGTGGGCATGGAGGCTCACCTGGAGTCCTTTGGGAACATTGTACCTCTCGGCGACATTCTGTGAGCCCCTCAGTGCAGGTCAAACTCCATCACCTGCTCTGTCTCTAACTTCACTACAGAGGGACTATCTGCCTTTGGACTTCCGGAGCCTACACAGCAGCCATTGATGTTAGCCAGTGTGAGCTGTTGAATGTAGGGTTTAGCAGACAGCCAGCCAATGAACACTGAAGCCAGTCTAACCCAGATTCAATTGCTTGCAACTTGAAGAATGACTCACAGCTCAGGCGGGGACCTAAGAGCTGGGGCTGAGGGTGCCAGATGGCCAGCGCTTTATTCCTCCTGGCAAACAGATTCTAATAAAACTAACAGCTGCTCTGTGATAATTATTGGCCCCATCTTTCCTCTGAAGACCTCCCCAAACAGTCTGAGTCCAATTACCACAGTTTCATTGCAGTGATGCTCAAATATGTTAGTAAACTACACATATAGGAAGCAAAAACTCAAGTTCTTGTGTGTCTGAATCCTTTCTTACAGACCATGTAGCTTTCCTGGGCTTGTCTCCAGGCTCCAAGACTGGTAGCTGCTTCATGATGCCCTATGCAGGAGAGAGGAAGGCAGTGTTCAGGATTCTTCCTATAACACAGCAAATCCAGTTGTGCCCCTCAAAAACCTCTCTTAGTCCACTGTGGAGGAGCTCCTTGGTAGAGCACTTGCCCAGGATGAACAAGGCCCCGGGTTGAATCCCAAAACTGGGAAGGAACAACAACTAACCCACCAAATCTTTGAGGTTGAATGTTCTAATTTCTGGTAAATGTGGATCAAAATTAGCACACGTATGGGATAATCCTTTTTGTTTTGAAATAAGATCTCTAGTAGCCCAGGCTGACTTCAACTCTGGGCAATCCTCCTGTCTAAGTCTCCTTGGTACTGGAACTGCAGCCACTATATCCAGCTTTTTTCTTTCCTACGCCCCTCCCCCCACCAGCCCAGTGACAGGGCTCAGACCCAGGGTCTTTTTTTTTTTTTTTTTTTGGTTTTTCGAGACAGGGTTTCTCTGTGGCTTTGGAGGCTGTCCTGGAACTCACTTGGTAGTCCAGGCTGGTCTCGAACTCACAGAGATCCGCCTGCCTCTGCCTCCCGAGTGCTGGGATTAAAGGCGTGCGCCACCAACGCCCGGCTCAGACCCAGGGTCTTATGCATCCTAGGTATCTAACTTGAGCTACAAGCCCCAGCCCTTGACACAACACAACTACTCAAGTTTTTCAGCTAATGTTTTCCATCTGTCTCTGAGATTCATGAGGGAGGGGCATATACCAAAATGTCAGAGGTCTTTATTAAAGACGAAACAGGCATGGGGACGGCAATAAGGCAGGGAATACAAGTCAATCAGAACAATGTACAGCACATACATATGACAATGCCATAATGAAACACATTGAGTTTTTAAATTATGTATTTATGTGTATTGGTGTTTTGCCTGCATGTATGTCTGTATGAGGGTGTTGGATCCCCTAGAACAGCAGCTACAGACAGTTATGAGCTGCCATATGGGTGCTGGGAATTGTACCTGGGCCCTCTGGAACAGCAGCCGGTGCTCTTAACAGCAGAGCAATCTCTCCAGCTCCCCTACACACACTGTTTTGCAGGCTTATTTAAAAACTCAATTAAGAAAGCCAGTGGGAGGCAGAGGCAGGCGCATCTCTGTGAGTTCGAGACCAGCCTGGTCTACAAGAGCTAGTTCCAGGGCAGCCTCCAAAGCCACAGAGAAACCCTGTCTCCAAAACACCCCCCCCAAAAAAAAGAAGAAAGCCAGTGGTGGTGGCGGCGGTGGTGAAACAGCAATGGCCACAGCACACACCTTTAATCCAGTACCCAGGAGGCAGAGGCAGGCGGATCTCTGTGAGTTCGAGGTCAGCCTGGTCTACTGATCGAGTTCCAGGACAGCCTGCCTGCAAAGCTACAGGAGAAGCAACCTTGTTTCTTATCTAAATTTAAACTGGAAAATAAAATTAAAAAAAAAAAAGAAAAACAAACCAACAGATAAAATAAAATAAAAACAAAAGAGAGAGGAGAAAGGAAAAAAAAAAGTCCATTTCAAAGGTTCCTCAAAGGAACTTTCCCTTTCCAGTCTCTAATTACTGCTCCTGTCTCAGGGATTAGCCAGCCTCCCACCCCCAAGCCCGCAGGGAGGCTAAATTAGAAGGACTTGGGCTTGGATTCCTTATATGGCAATATCTATTTAGCCATCATTATTACAGGAATCATTCTAAATGTAATTATCTTTTTTAAACTTATTTTCTCACTTTTTAAAAAAATTTATTTATTCATTATGTACACAGTGTTCTGTCTGCATGTTTGCTTGTACACCAGAAGAGGGCACCAGATTGAATTGTAGATGGTTGTGAGCCACCATGTGGTTGCTGGGAACTGAACTCAGGACCTCTGGAAGAGCAGCCAGTGCTCTTAACCTCTGAGCCATCTCTCCAGCCCTTTTTCAAACTTATTTACGTACTTACTCAGAGACAAGGTCTTATGCAGCCTAGGTAGCCTCGACTCTCTATGTAGCCAAAAACAACCTTGAACGTCAGATCCTCTTGCCTCCACCACCCAAACGCTGCGATTTCAAGCAATTACCACCATGCCTGGTTTTATGCCATACTGGAGACTGGACCCAGGGTTGTGTTCTCAATAGGTGGGCACTCTGCCCCTTGAACTACACCCTCAGACCCTTGAATGTAATTATCTATTTAAAAGTCTGTAGTCAGGCAGGCACGGTAGTGCCCTACCTGACACTTGGGGGGCTTGAGGCAACAGACTGACATAGAGGACAGCCTGGGCCACATGTGAGACTCTTGTCTCAAAATAATAGTAAAAGTATCTAGACTAGATTCTAAAATCCTAGCATGTCCGACCTTCAGATTCATTCTGATAACTTACCAATGGGCCCGCGGAGAGAAGTAGGGGAGTTAAAGAAGAGATGCACCGGTGAGGTCCACCTACGGCCTAGGCTACTGACCACAAGGTCAGAGCTCAGAGGGGCCGGCTTCGCAAGAGCCACCTCCTTTACATCTTCTCCCCCGGCCACATCTCCGCGAAGAAGCCAGGATCGGGGAGTAATGGCTGCCTGCTTTCCGCTAATGCGGCCGGGCGGAGACCAGGGACACGGTCCCTTCCACCCAGCTAAGGCACACTTTGTGAGAGGAAGGGATCCTCTCTCCTCCAAGTGACCCCGCCCAGAGACCTCCAGCCCAGCACCAATTACCTGCCGCAGCCTTGGCTTGTTGCTGGACGTAGCTCCACCCACAGGGCGGAGCTTGGGAGCCCGCCCCCTTCCCCAGGCCCCGGAAGCGCGTCCAGGCCAACCGCTCTGCGCCTCCTCGGTCTTAACGCAGGCGGCGGCCACTCCAAACTAGCCAGTGCGGCCAGGAACCCTGCGTGCTGGTTGGCATGCCGTTCGATGGCTCCAATTCCTTGTTTAGCTCTTAAAGGACTAACGGAGTTTGTTACAGCAGTCGTTACAGCAGTGGTGACTTCTGAAGGGGAGGTGTGGCCTGGAACTCATTATGTAAACCAGGCCCGCCTTGAATTCTGCTGCAGCCTCCTGAGCGAGGTTATGTGCAAGCTCCACTCTGCCAAGCTTTGCCTGTGCAGGCTTGAGGCTGCTTCAAGCTGTGGCGCTTAAAGTCATTTCCTTAGTTGCCCTGGGTGGTTACAGTGTGTTCCAGACCACAGGCCTTTGCTTCATAGGCTGGACCAAGAGATCAAACACAGAGGACAGCTAGGTCCCACTGTAATGGGTGAGGGATAAAAAGTTCAGAGGCCGGGCGGTGGTGCCACACACCTTTGATCCCAGCACTCGGGCAGCAGAGACAGGAGGATCTCTTTGAGTTCGAGGCCAGCCTGGTCTACAAAGCGAGTTCCAAGACAGCCTCCAAAGCTACAGAGAAACCCTGTCTTGAAAAAAACAACAGCAACAACAATAACAACAAAAAAGCTCACTGAGACTGTATGATCTTGGAGAAAGTTATTAATACTTTGGATGTCTTCCCTTTGCAACGTATTATTCCTAAGATTTCTATAGGGTTTGTGGCCAGTTATCTGGAGGCCCAGAGCTGGACCTCTGTAAAGGCCGTGATTATTTCTATCTATAAATGAACTACCCTCTGTCAGCATTTTCATCTGCATAATCTCTGATCTATGTCCTAGCTATAAGTGCTCCATGTTGTTCCTAAAACAAAGGTGACTCACCTGTGCCTATGTGTGATCAGAGTACCACACTCTTTTTTTTAAAGATTTATTTATTTATTATGAACACAACACCCTGCCCCCATGTATGTCTGCACATCAGAAGAGGGTACCAGATCTCATTACAGATGGTTGTGAGCCACCATGTGGTTGCTGGGAATTGAACTCAGGACCTCTGGAAGAACAGTCAGTGCTCTTAACCGCTGAGCCATCTCTCCAGCCCCAAGTACTACACTCATGCTCACTAACTACCATCAGAACTCAAAACAGACTAGAAACAGCAGAGCTACTGTGATGACGGAGTTTCTGTCCCAGCCTGATCCTGCAGCCTTTTAGTCCTAAACACACACACAGAGGATCACGTTAATTATAAACTGTTTGGCCAATTGCTCGGGCTTCTATTGGCTAGCTCTCTCTTAATTGTTAACCCATTTCTATTAAATTATGTATTGCCATGAGCTGTGGCTTACCCCTAATGCCCCGGCAGGTCACTCTGGTGGGATGGCTACATTTCGTCTCCCCTGGTCACACTATGTACCTTTTCCCAGCCTTCTTCTAGTCTGATAGCCCACCTATATTTCCTGCCTGGCTACTGGACAATCAGCGTTTATTCCCAACTACTAAGAGAAATATATATTCACAGCATTCAGAAGGACATCCGCATCACTACTGTACTTACTGGGAGAGGGCAGGCAAACTTGGCTTCAGACACAAGCTCAAGCACCTAACAGGGAACTCTGACATCTGCCAAGTCCCTTCTCTCTGAACCCTAGTTTACCCACATACAGAATGAGGATAGCAACACCAGCAGACAGCTGCTGAGATAATGTATGAATGCTAGTGAAAGGGTTTTAATTTTGAGACAAGGTCTCATGTAGCCCAGGCTGGTCTCTAACCCACTGTGTAGCTAAGGATGACCTTGAATTCCTGATCCTCCTGCCTCCACCTCGAAAGTGCTAGGATTTACAGATAAGGGCCACAATGCCAGAGATCCAACTTAATAACTCATTTAGTTACTTGAGAGCTAACCAAAACCCACAGACAGACAAAATAGAATTTGGGGGCCGTAGCTCTCTTACTTCCTTGCCATATGTTTCTAACACCTGGACTCTTCATGACTTCCTGTAGTTAATAGAAAGTTTCCCAGGGACTGC